ATAAATGTTTATAGATCAACCAGTGATCATCTGCCTGTTCCAGATCTACAGTATGATAAAAGGGATTTGAAAAGAGCTCTTAGAGATGGTCTAACCAGAATAAAAGGTATATATAACATGGTGAAGGCTCTTTGTTGTTGCCCCTTCTGAAATCAAGGAAATAACCAGATATTTTTAGGGTAAAGTTGAATTTTTTTTAACCAAAAGCATTTTGTATAAAATCACCATCAATTTCAAATCTGTATAGTAAGTCCCCAACTTAGGAACATTTGAGGTGTAAATTTTCACAGGTGCAGAGGACCATAATATTGATTATGCCCAAAGCAGGCTGTGAAGAGTTAACCCCACAATTTCCTTATTTATAGAAGTGAGTCTGGCTGAAGCCTACGTGTAGAGGTCAGAGTAACTCGCACCCAAATTCTGTTCCCACAACTAAAACCTTCAGACTAGGACAATGTTCCAATTACAATCATATATTTTGTCTATTCTATTCCTAATTCAAGAATGCTTTGTCTTGTCCTTTATGAGCCTTGTTTACATTAATTTCCATAGAAACCACACATCGCCTTTACCCCAATTGATTGCCAATAAATGTCAGTGCCTGGGACTGTCCAGTGCCTTTGTCGGTTGCACTGACATTGGTCATCCTGGCACCCCGCTTTCTCTCTCCTAGTTCTGTCTCCTAGTGTATTTATTTTCTCAGGTCTGAGTCGCACACTGGGCAGGTGGGTACTGGAACCTGACGACAGAGGTTTCTGATACACAGGTGTACCATATAAGATTATAAACGAATCAACTTTGGAATGTTCTCTGGAATGGAACTCATTGGTGAGTTGGGGACTTACTGCATTTCTATACCTGTATTTCTTTCCCTAATATCCCAGACTCTTGAATTCAACTACATACTGGACATCTTCATTTAATTTCAACATTGGAATTTTCAGTATAGCATGGTCAGAACTTTTTCTTTTTTTACTATTTTTCTTTTTGGCACTGAGGTTTGAAGCCACAGGGCCTCGGACATGCTCAGTATACAATTTATTGCTGAGCTGTACCTGCAGCATTTTAATAATAAGTATGGTCTTAAACTGTACCTTGGTTGATTATGTGCTCTGTACTCAATGACCCCAGGATACAACCTCTCCAAATCATTCCATCCCTCATATCAGTAAACATTTCTAAATCAAAGGAAAGTGACTGTATTTACTTTTTTTTGGTACCAGGAATCAAACTCAGGACCTGGCACTTGTAAGGCAGGTGCGGTGCCACTGAGCTATATCCCCGACCCCTGCATTTACTCTTTATTATAGGTAGAAAAGGAATAATGGATATTAGGTATTTTAAGATTTTAATCATACAAATATATAATTTTATGTACATAATTTGTACATACATAATTTTATGTAATCAGTTTTCCTCTATGCTTTTGTTTCATAGTCTTTATCCCTAAGAAGACCTTTCCTGTATAGATATTAAAGACTGAGGTATATTTTCTCTGAGTTTATTAAAGATGACTATCATTTTAAAATTTAACTGTTATGTGTTTTAGTTTTTGATGGCATGTGCTATTCTAACTTCCTTTTTATTCAAAGACTCAGTTTTTCCAACACTGTACTTTAAATAATGTGTGATTTTCCTGTTGATTGTGATATTTTCTGGTTGTAGTAAATGAATAATAAATTGTCCTCGAGGTGTCTATTTTGTTGTACTCATGGATCTTAAGCCTCATACCTTCATGTTTAGTACTATTTAGGAGCAGAATAAAATGTCCTCTGGAACTGTGCCACATAGCAGCCTTGTCTAGAAGGGATTGACCATGTTACATTTTACCTATGCCCTGCACTCCTAGAAAAAGGCAAAAGTTAAGATATCCTTCAACCTTTTATATTGCAGAAAGGGCTTCTTATGTAACTCATATAAGCCTCAAGTGTTTCCCCCTTCTTTACCATGACAAGGCTAGATACTGATGCCAAATCCCCAGTCTTTGCTTCATCATTGGATGAATTGGTTTGTACCATAGATCAATGGAAACAAAAGTTTTGTTAATCAAATGCTAGATAAGACTGTCTCCTTCTGATAGGTCTGTGAATGTTAACCTATCCTCAGCTTGAGTAGCATATAACAGCCCTTTAAAGACTAGGCTGTTTCAGAGTGAAACAGTCTATAGTCCCACTCTCTTATCCCACATCAACACATTTTGCTAGCTTCATAAGATGATGAATAGCTATGTTTTCTATGGCAATTTAAATTTTATTGATTTTTGAAAATACATTTTAACTTACATTATTATTGGTGCTGGGGGTCAAATCCAGAACCACGGGTATGCTAGGCAAGTGCTCGGCCACTGAAATAAATCCCTAGTTCTCCATGGAAGCTATAATCATGGAAATAACCCAATCTTTGAATGTTTGAAATTAGGCACTTATAGAATGTTTTGAGTCTGCAGTATACTAAAAGAAATTTCTTAACTTTTTTATGTTATCCATCTATTCAGGTCCTCCTCTATTTTGTTCTTGTGTAAAATTCTGAAATTAAGATTTCCAGAAAAGGTCATGCAAGGAAATCAAGAAATGGAATTAAAAGAAACCATCTTCTAAATTACTTGGTACTAAGATGACTATGAAATTTTTATGTATAGTGTTCTGTAATGTTTAAAAAATACTATTCACATGTATTTTTAGAATGTAAAATGCATGATAGGGGAAAAACATGTACAATGTAAGATACAGGAAAAATATACACAGACTTTTAACCCCAGTATCTACAAATACTGATGTTTGCTTTATGTATTTCCACTCTTTTTTACATAAAAATACACAAATTTACATATACATTTGCAGCTATAAATTTAGGTGAGCAAATTTATTGGAGGCACAATTTTGGTTTGATCTTTACTTCCTTGTGGAATGCCTGTGAATTTTACTTTAAACAGTAAAAGGAAATTAAAGTTGTTAATCCTTTGACTTTAAAAGAAAGATTATCCTGGATTATCTGAGTGGAAGTGCAAGTGATAAAGAAAGGCAGAAGGCTGCTCACAGAGAAGAAATGGAGGAGGTGGGAAAGACTTGAATGAGTGGAACTCTGGGTCCGAAGATAGAGAAGGAGGCCATGAGCCAAAGAACCTGGGGGACCTGCAGAACCTAGAAACAGCCGGCAAGAAAATAATCACAAGGAGGTGAATTCTGTCAGTAACTGAGCAAGGAAATGGATTTTCTCTTAGAGCCTCAAAGAGATTGCAGACTGACAACATGCACATTTTAGTTCTCAAAGATCTATGCCATTATTTCTGACATACAGAACTATATGATAATAAATGTGTTGTTTTAAGCCACCAAAGTTGTGGTAATGTCACAGCAATAATAATAGTAAATGAACACAGCAAAAATGTCCTATCTTTATTTCATTTAAATCAGTTTATCCAGTGCTGAATCCTTATTCTGCTGCACCAGCACGGTATCTATCGAGGCCCTCTTCCCTACCAGTGACATGGTCTCCTCTTTCTTTCACACCACCAGATAATAGCGAGGTTGTTTTCTAATAAGATTTTTTTTTCCCCCAAACTCCCAAGGTGAAGAAATACATGTCTGGTTATCTACTTGGGAGATAATAAAGCATTACACCTCACTAAACTATCTTGCCACTGGTAAAATGGTTGTTCCTCTTAAAGGATATTTTACTCTCTTCTCTGGTGTCTCATGTCTTTCGTTCTAATACTTGGGTCTGCCCCAAGCTTATAACCTCACAGCTATGTTCCTTCAGGCTTCTCAGGTCAGTGTTTATAAACCTGGATATTGGAAGATTTCCCTGCTTTCCAGAGGAAAAAATGACTCTGTTTTGGGTGGGTGTTTTGTTGCTGTTTCTAAATTTTTTTTGATGTGCTGAGGATTGAACCCAAGGTCTCCTCTATGACAGGCATATGTTCCACAGCTGGGCTACTCACTTAGCCCCTAGGAATTTTTGTTTTTGAATTTTTGAATTGTGGCCACCTTCTGGGAGAGTGAGGTTACAAGGGTTTTTCTCTACAGAGAAGCAAAGATGGAGCAGGAGACCACTGAATATAGTAATGAAAATATTATATGCAAGCAAGACATGATGGCAACTTGAAACAGTGCAGAAGCAGTGGGAAAGATAAATGGTTGGATTTTGAATCCTTTGAAGGACAGAGTTAATGATCTGATACAGTGTGTTAAAGAAAAGCTAAAGTAGGTTTGTCAGGACTCATTCACTGTCTCAGACCTCACTGTTGGGAATCCACAGAAATCCTAAATGCTCTGAGCATATTTCAAACTACACATGATTGGCTCCCTTTGTTTTAGTTACATCAGAATTTAATCTTGGCAGTTAAAAAGCTGACTTTCTAAGCTAAACTTGCAACCAGATTTCTTTATTTTCCAATTCACTTTCCTCCTTAAAGTCTCCTGGTTTTATTTATTTCTGAATTCCAACTGTGTAAGTGCCAGTTCTCCTATTCTACATCCATCACCAGGTGGATGTTCCAGCCTTTTTCTTTCCCCAACTTTGGTACTCCAAAAGAAAGGATGGATGTTGTTTCCAGAGGAAAAGAATGCAGGATAGTTACAAACAATAGCTTTGTATTAGTTGATTTACAAATTTGGTTTTAAGATTACTGAAAAACCTAGTAGTGAAAAAACTCCAAGAAAATACAATATTGCTCTACTACTCTTAGTGGTAAGTCTATTCTATGAATCCTTTACAGCTAGGCAGTCAAGATACTTGGAGTTGCAAAACAACTCTGACAGATAAACCAGTTTGTTTATATTGATAGAAGGGATACAGTCAGAAACGGACACTGAATGAGCCACTCCTTTCCCTTCTTTCAGCTGTGAGCACTGCACGACTTTGGTGATTACCCATGTTTAAGCTTAGGAGGTAGACCCCAGGAGGCGATAGATCATTAGTTCTGACATCAGTGAGAGACTGAATGGGAGGCACCTGGAGTCAGGTGTCTGACCTTCTAAGTACTGGAAGCCCAGTTGTATTAGGGCTCATTAAGAGTTCCTCTTGCTTCTGCCTGTTCCCGCAACCGTCCTGTGATCCTGTGATCTTTAATAAACGTAGCTACCTACTACTTACTTCAAGGTGTATGCTTGGCAATTCTTTCCTTGCCGTACACAAGGACCTCAACTGGTGTTTTTGGCCCATTCAATTGTAACAGAAGTAACAAAATTTTCATAATAAATATTAGCACTCCCTTTTGGGAAAGAAGCATTTCTGCCCTCACTGCAAAGGATACTTCATTTTGGTTATTAAAAAACAGACACAGGGCTACCCTGACGTTATCTGTAAAAGCTTGGGCAAATAATTAACTTTTCTAGTGCTTGTTTTCTCAGCCACAAAACCTACTTATATGCCAGGTCAGCCCTCCTGTTGCCTCTTGTTCCCAGGCTCTTCAAATAATAAACCCCATTAACGAACATTCAGTGTCTCATTTAAAAACAGTACGTTTGACTCTTAAGAAATAGCACAGTACAAGACATAGGACAGTTTCCTGCCTTCCTAGGTGAAGAAATTCTCCAGTTTTCTGTGGGTACAACCTCATTCAACTACTGCAACTAATGCGCTTGCACTGACTCAGGGAATCCAGCATATTCTTGAGGGGCCATCATAAAGCAGGAAATGCAGAATTCCGTTTAGTCTTTACTTTTGAAGGGTTTCAGTGAGGGTAATCTCATTCAGGTTTGGCACAGGCTGCTTTCCGAACGAACGCTACCCAGCCTCACCTGCGGCGCTACGCAGTCACGCTCTCCTTCCGGCTCCAGGTGGAGAGTCGCACAGGGCATTGACCAATGGGCTCGCTCGCTCCCTGCGGAAGGGCGGGACTTCGAGCCGGGGACCCGCCCCCTGTACGTGGCGTGCGTGCGTGGCGCCGTGCGGCGCAGGCCGGTTTCCCCAGCGCGCGGCGCCCCCCGGCGGCCGTGGGTCTTCAATGCGACCGCCTGACCTGAACGCCCGCCATGGAACCGCAGAGCGAGGCGCGAGCGCTGCCGGACGCGGCCGCGCGCCCGCCCGAGGTCTCGACGACTCGGACGCGGGGCGTGGAAGAGCGGTGGGAGGGCGGTGCGCCGCCAGCGGCGCCTGCTGGGGATCTAGCGGCGGACTGCGCGAGTGCAGATGGGCTGTGGGCGCTGCCCGTGGAGCCGGCCGCGCGGAGGCCGGAGTGCGGGTGCTGCAGGTGAGCGCTGGCGGGCGGGACTGCGGCGCCCCCTGGTGGCCAGGCGGGCTCGGGCGGCCCTGCAGGGTCTGTGAGCGGGACCTGGGGCGTTCGAATTGCACGGACCCGCCATCAGTAGACAGCTGTTTGTCCAAGTTCAGTTATTTAACCCGATTTCCTGAAAGACGTGGAGCATTTAATGGAAAGAGCGGGCATAAGCTCCGATTCCAGAAAACTTAAAAAGCATCCGCTGGGGCAATTTTAAGGGGGAATGACAGTACTTAAATGGCACAATCATATATCACAATGGAAAAAATGGATTGGAAGACAGGGACAGGCAAGGCTCGTACTACAACAGTTAAGATTATATTCAGAATTCTGAATTTATTCGGAGATATTTATCGAGCACCTGCTCTGTGCAGGTACCAGCCATTCTAGGTCCTGGGAACATAGTGATGAATAAAGCAGACATAGTTCCTACCCTGCCTGGGGCACTTACAGCCTAATGAGAATCTGTTAATTAAACAAGCAAAAACAACTTAACATCGAATGTACGCAAAATGTCCTACTGTTTAAGCACTTTTTGGGGGTTCCCACAGTGTGGTAGTGTACTTTGGGATTGTAAAATTTGCTTCCCGTGGTTATTCTTATGCGCTTCAGATACACCACTCTACCTCTTGGACTTAAGATTATTTCCACTCATTACCTGAGGTATCTGGCTATCATCCATCTCTTTGCTGCTCTTTGCAATTTTATTATTAGATAGTGCTTTGTGTTAGCTTTCCTTTACTTTGACAAAATACCTGAGATAATCAACTTAGGAGAAAGGGGTTATTTTGGCTCATGGTTTCAGCCCCTGGTTGTTGGCTGTGTCGTGGCACAGAGTATCCTGCTGGGAGTCATAGTGGAAGAAGTCTGTTCACCTCGCGGCATAGGGAAAGCAGAAAAAGACAGGAAGGGACTTCCTTCGAACCCCAAGTACATGTCCCCAGTGACCTTTCATTCCCATAGGCTCCATCTCTTAATAGTTTCACACTCCCAAAACGGACATGGGCTGGGGACCAAGGCTTCAACGCCTGGGGACATTTCAGATCCAAACTAAAGCATGCCTCTACCTCCCCACTTTGCAGTCACTGCAGTTTGCCATCAGATCGTATACTGCTCTGAAATGGTTGTCAAGAAAGTTTCTGGTAACCTCCATGAGAACAAATCCAGTGGATCCTTTTCATCTCAGTTTTTACTAGATACCTTGGCAGCTTTCAGTGGCTCAATACTCCTTTCTTGAAACACTTTCTTTGGTTTCCCTTTGATGTAATGAAGTTCTCTTTTCTAGTCTCCTTTGTCTGTTCTACCCCCCCCCCCCTTTTCTTTAACAAGCCTTTCTATCTTTTATTATGCAAAGAACTTCATCTTTTATTTAGCCTTCTGACTCTGTGCTTGTGCCTTCAATACTTTCACCATGATTTTCTGCACTTCAGTAAAGGAAAGCATGCTTGATCCTGTCATGCACACACTTGGCACACATGTAGGCCCTGCTGAAATGCTTATTTGTTTTAGACAATCTCATAAGAAGTTTATTGCGCGCAGCACGAGCCCCTCAGAGTCTGCCCAGGCACACACCACATGCAGATTTGGTTGCCTTCCCAACCTTCTTAGTATAGAAGTAAACAGTTCTAGTCCCTGGGATTTGGGACAGCCTGGTTTTGTTAGAAGCTGTATGGTAGGAAAGCCTATGATGGTGTGTCAAGCGCTGGACCATTGTGAAAACCTCTAGACACTGGCCCTGGAAGAAGGTTCTACCCACATTTCTAACTGTGTGGCTTCTGTTCTCAATATTTATGTTCTCTTCTCTTCTCACCCTACAAACTTCCCACTCACCAGATTTGATGGTAGATCATCATCCATACCCCAGTTTTTGTGGTCCAGACAGTATGCATCCAGTAAGTTTACTGTGCACATTGCCAGTCACTGACAGTGCAGTGGAGTCCATCTGAGTGTTCTTTCTCTCAGTGGATACAACTAATAGACTAGCACACAAGCATCCAAATGTGTAATTAGAGACTGGGGAAAAGCAGTGAGGGAAAGAAATGGGATGCTGTGCCAGAAAATAGCTAAGTGGTGTCAGGAAAGATCTCTGAGGAGACAGCATTTATACTGAGATTTGAAAGCTGAGATGGATCCATCAAGGAGAAAAGCATTCCAAGAAATAGAACCAGACAGAATGTGGTGAATATCTTTACCATTTGAATGCTTGGAGGACTTTACCTTGGACATTTTTACCTTTTCCAGGGCTTGGATTTTACTATCTCAGAGGAAGGATCATGAATGTAAGGCTATTTTTATATTTTGTAGATGTACTATGTGTAGACAGCTCCAGACTTACGGTTTGACTAACAATTTTTTGACTTTACAATAGTTAGAAAGTGATCTATACAATCAGTAGAAACTGTAATTCAGATTTTGAATTTTGATCTTTTTTTCTGTGCTAGCCATGTAGGGTACGGTATTTTCTCTGGAGATGCTAGGCAGCAGCAGCGGCAAGCTGCAGATCCAGTTAGTCCTGTGATGACCACCGGTACTCTTCACTGTACTGTGTTGCAAAATTGTGGTGTTTTGTAGGTCACATTTATTAAATTTTTTTTAACTTGCTATATTTTCAATATACTGTGGGTTTATTAAACCCAATCACATCATAAGTCAGGGCATCTGTATAGTTAACTCTTTTTTTTTTTTTTTTTTGGTACTGGGGATAGAATTCGGGTCCTTTCGCTTGCGAGGCAGGTGGTGAAATCACTGAGCTAAATCCCTGGCCCTGTAGTTAACTCTTAGTAAACCTTTGAAGAGGATGGAGAATTTGTCACTAGAAGGGACTGTTTTGAATGCAGTTCATTTAAACAAGTTGTTTAAGGTTAAGGAATATCACTTAAAAATAATTGGCTAAATCTCAATAGGATGCAAAGGAAAAGTGTTTCAGATATAAATTAAGGTTAAGTTTTGTGCTAGTATTTTCACTTAGTTTTTTGTTTATTCAGAATAACTAATTACTAATATTATATGTAATTTTATTTATTTATTTATTTTTTGCAGAACCGGGCATTGAAGTCAGGACCTTGCGCTTGCTAGGCAGGCACAGGTGCCACTGAGCTAAATCTCCGGCCCCGCTATATGTAATTTAAAAAAATTTTCTGTGTTTAGCGGGTACTTTTTTGTTTTTTTGAAATGAAAGTTGCTGGATTTTAATTTCTTTTCTGCTAGATTTAGTTAATGGTTAGGATTATAACTCATTTCAGTATTTCTATATTTTGCCTATTTTTCATGAGATTTCTGTCTTTTAAAAGCTCTTCTTGGCATGCTATGCATTTTATTTGTTTTAATTGGATAGAGTACATTTCTAGAATTATGGAGAGTGTTTAGATGGTATGAATACTATGTAAACCAATTGGTGTCTATATTTTATATCATTGGGGTGTTAGAGTTCTATTTTTTGGGTGAACTTCTTTACATTTATGGTTGTAATAGTTTTTTTTGGTACTGGGGATCGAACTTGGGTCCCTGTGCTTGCGCAGCAGGCGGTGTAATAGTTTTTAAATGCATATTTAGATTTGAGTGATTAGTAAGTCACAATTATTTGGCTATTTATTTAAATAGTATTCATTTCTCTAAACACTTTACTATAATTGTCACCACCTAGGGAGTTCTAGAAATTGGGTTCGTTCAGGAAGTACAAACTCAATTTAACTTCTCAGCACAATCTTGCTTGTCAGAAGTATTGCATGTATTAAACATGAGTGGAATATCCTTTTTTCTTGTACTGGGGACTGAACTCACGACCTTGCTCTTGTGAGGCAGGCAGGGGCACCACTGAGCCAAACCCCTGGCCCTGAGTGGAATATTCTTTAAAGGTTCCAAAACTTATTTATTATTGTGTGAAACAGATTTTACAAACTTATTCTTTTTTTCTGTATGTGTCTTGTTTATAAAACTTGGCTATATATATAATATATATATGTACATATATATTAACCTTTTAGTTCCTTTAACTTTCTCTTATTCCCAAAGATATCAAATTAATATTTTGGCATACAAAGAAATTGATCTCTCCAAAATATATATTGTTAGCTGTATTTGAAATGAAATAAGAAGGCTGAAGATCATGACTACAGAAAACATTTGTTGAATTGCTTGGTGAAGTTCAGTTGTGTTCCAAATATTTCTAAAGTCCACTTCCAGGTGTTGTGATTGGCATGTAATGCTGAAACACAAAGGTGAGTAAGGGATGACTTTAACCCTGCAGTGACTCGGATCGAGGGGAAAACGGCATGTCCATTTGAGTGGAGAGCCCACAAAATAACATTGGATGATTTAGGACAGTGATGGCGAACCTTTTAGAGCTTTCAGTGTTTTAAGATCTGTTTAAGGGAAGACACAGCAAGAACATGCACACATACTGACTCAGACTCTGAGATTAGCTCTTCTTTCTCTAAGGATTTCTTCCTAAGAAAAGCACAGAATTGTAAGGATTATACTAAACTATACTTACAAGTTTAGCACCCATATATTTACCAGTAGCCACCTGCCAGTGATATACCAGGCTTAGGTGTTTCATATATGATAGTATTTCTCACAACAACTCTATTGTTGATGGTATTGCAACTTTATTTTACTTTTTTAGTATTCACTTTTGAAGTGATGAGGAGGTAGCAGTAACAGAAGAGTGGCAGCATTGTGCTGCATCTCCAGTCCACATGGCTCCCAAGCACACGAAGATGCATGGCTCGCTCTGCACTCCTGGTGAAGAAGCCTTGGGGCTTTGCACAGTGTAGTCACTGGTCGAGGGGAGCCACTAAGGCTGCAAAAGTGGTTCTTATTTTTATACTTCTTCAGTCAGTAACAAGATGCCTGAACTTTAGTATTTTCTCTAGCTTTTTTATTGCATGTGTCATACCCTTTCCTTATTCTTTTAGGCTTGGATATTCTGGAGAAAAAAGTGATGGGGATTAAATTGAGAGAGAAAGGAGGGA